GGCTGGGGATTCGAACCCGCCACCTTAGGTGTACGTGGCTGGCGCCTTAGCCGCTTGAGCCACAGGCGCCGAGCCCACAGATTACTTTTAAAATATACAAAGATCATTTAATGAAATGCACAATGATTGTTTAACTTGATTAAATCAAACAGAACATAAAGAACTAAGGAATGTTCAGTCAATATTCCGTTGCTCTTAAGGGGATAGGGATAGCTGCTGTGGGGTGATCAAAGGCTCATCATCCCTTAGTCTCTCCAAGCCACCTACCAACATCCTCCTAAGAGCCAAGGCAAGATCACACCATGGCCTAGGGCAGCAAGCAACTGAAGGGTTGCAAAGAATGCAAATCTCACTGAACGCAATAATCATGGGTAATTGTGTCTTGATGGGCTGTAGAAAAAAAGCAGCACTTGAAAGTATCTTACCTGAAGATAAAAAATTATAGAATGAGACTTTAGAAAAAGAAAATGACTTACTTCCTTCAATATGAGCCTGGGGATTCTTATACAGATGTTCAATTCGACCTGTATTAAATGAACTGGATCGCCGTACAATTCCATGGACCTAGGTTTTTACAGTATAGAAAGATAAAAGCAAAGAATAAAAGCATAATGAGGATTAATAAGTAACTCAGAAGTTTTTTAGCTAGTGTTTAGCTTTATTAAAAAGTAAAACTTTATTTACAAATATTATTTTAAGTTATTAGAAATAGTTTCATTGCCTACTCTCTTCCCAACCACTGACCACCAGCTACCAACACCTCCTTCCATCTTTCTCCAGTGTTTTTACTGCCAATCTCAAAAAAGTAATTAGATAATTATGTGACTTCATGCTTAGCTGTAGATAGTCAGATATCTCCTTTGCTAAACACACACACTTACAGCCTAACTGCTGACAAAAATATCTCTTCCATTTGAAACTGAAGACAGACCATGTGAGTCTGTATCAGTAAAATAGCTCTGTGGCCCATTTAACACAGAGCATGAGGTCATCACATCTTACTAGCATCCTCAGCTGTATAGCACTTTGCATCTATTCTATATATTTCTGGAACCACAGATACAGTCAGAGAGTTGTTTCTATTATGCAGCTGTGTGGAAAAGTCAGAAATCTAAATAGCATGAGTTAGAGACAAGATTTATGTACTACTGGATTTAAGACATGAAGAAAACTCATATGAAGAGAGGATTTTAAAAAAAAATTCATCTTGACTTAACCATGATAAGTGTTAGGGATAAAAAAGTTGTTCGGACAGGAATGCATACCTGCCTGATATTGAAGAAAAGACTATTTGTGTCAGATACATAAGAGAAATTGTTCCAGACCTAGTCACACTTCCTTCTTGTGTCAAGATTGCTCCCTTTGTGCTGCCAATGCTAACACCAGCTTATGTCACCAGCTGCCCAAGTTCCAGTTTTACTGGTGGCAGTTTTAATCCTTGACTTATTTTAGAAGTGTTCGTTCTAATGTTGGATAGGTTCATTTGCAGCTGAATACACTTCTATATTTTAACTCAATCGTTTTCTGTCTATTTCAAACCAAAATTAATCCTTGGCATGACTCAAATATTCCAAATGAAAGAGGGAAAATTATAAGCACATAAGACCTTCTTTCAAATAGAAAGAAATGTTACCGTCATTTTATATAGCATACATGTGAAAATGACTTCCGCAAAGGATACAACACACCCACAATTAATAATTCTGCTGGTTAGTGGCTTTAGCCAAAGAGAAAAGCACTCATCGACACTTTTCTAAAAGAATGAAACCCAAGAAAAGTTGGTAAATATGAAAATATTTTAAGAAGGGAACATCGCAAAACTGGTTGACATTTTAGGAGGCAAACATCAGAATCTAGGAAACATTAAATTGAGCTTTGGCTATATGTATCTGTTTCTTAATTTAGAAGTGGAGAAAACAACACCAATATTAAGCTTAGAATTTGTTTTACTTCCTGATCTCCAATTTTCAAGTTGTTATTAATGGAAAAGTTGAACTGCTCTACAAACTTAATTTTCTTTACCAAAAAGCAACTTCGCATACATCCTTAAACAGGGCAAAACTGGTGTTTACTACCAAAGTTATTTCTAAAATACACATTTCTCAAATGTAAGTACTTTTAGTTCACTGAATAGGAAAGAATTAAACTGATATTTAAACTGATAAACTAGGACGGCGCCTGTGGCTCAAAGGTGTAGGATGCCCGCCCCATATGCCTGAGGTGGCGGGTTCAAACCCAGCCCTGGCCAAAAACTGCAAAAAAAATATATAAATAAATAAACTGCTAAATTTTGACAATGAAAAGAGTAATATCATTTAGGCTATCTTCTCTTGTTTGCTGGAAGTCACATAATATTCCAACAGCCTGAAACAGAGACAAATGCCATATATATAAATATTACACAGAAATGTAAAGACTTTGACAAAAGTATTAAATAATCTTGATGGACTCAGTGTGAAAAGCAGAAAACATGACAAAGTTATAACAAATGAGTATAACAAGACTTTATTGTCACACTTAAAATCAAAAGGATTAAGTATGAATAACTCTTTTTTTAAACTAAAAAAAGTATTTTCTTTTCCCCTAATTCCTAACATTTGGTATGTGTATACAGGGAAAGAAAGACCTGCCAAGTGCTTAATTCATGACAGCAGGTATTATTCTAAGAATTAATGAAAGCTGAATCTGTCTGCTTCTGAGACAGGTGAAATACAACTTTAAAACAAACCAAAATGTATGCAAACTGCATAATCTAGTTAGGAATTTGACATTAGCAGATTCTTCTTTATAGAAGGGATGTAGGTAGGGCACCTTTGTTTGTTTTTATAAGGATTCGGGGAGAAAAAGAGATAAAGGGTTAGGAAACAAAACAGAAAAGACAAATATGAGTTGAATTTGACTTTGTATAAACAATCAAAATTGTTATTAAACACAAAAAAAGTAATTCTGAAAAACTGAAGTCTTAATAATGAAAGTGGATTTTGACAAACAAGTTTCATGTTTCATTGAACTAGGTAATGAAAAGGAAAATTTCAAGTTTCCCCAGTGTCAGAGCAAAGTTGCCTTGATTTCAAACCTGTGAGGTTATCTAATCCATGGGCCACAGGCCACATGTGCGTTATGTAAGGACTGTTCATTTACCCGTGATAGTGGGTTATCAAATTCTTTAGTATCTAGATTTCTCTTAATTTATTACGTATGCTTTTCTTTTTTTTTTCTTTTTTTTTTTTGAGGACAGAATCTTATTCTATCGCCCTAGGTTGAGTACCATGGCATCATCATAGCTCACAGCAAACCTCAAACTCTTGGGGCCAAGTGATCCTCTTGCTTCATCCTCCCAAGTAGCTGGGACTATAGGAACCTGTCACAACGTCTGTTTTTTTCTGTTTTTAGTAGAGATAGGGTCTTACTCTTGCACAGGCTGGCCTCAAACTCCTGAGCTCAGCAATCTACCCACCTCAGCCTCCCAGAATGCTAGGATTGCAGGCATGAGCCACCAAGCCTGGCCTAGTACCTAGATTTCTCATCCAAGGATGCCTCCATGGGATGGTTGATGTCGCTCTCCTTTTGAAAGGCATCTAAATAATATTAATTGCCAACATTTGCAGAATACCATCTACAAACCAGTGACCACAAACAAGACACCATTCTTTGTACATATTAAATCAATTCATCTCATAACCTTACTATTACTATTTGGGTTCTACAGATGAGGACAATGCTTAAGATCAAACAGCCTAGTAAGTGGCAAGATTAAAGGACAGACAAGGTTGAGCACGACAACACTATGGAATTGTAGTTTCAAAATGAAATCCACAAAAAGCTTTGTCTTTTTTCTTTTTCTTTTTTTGCAGTTTTTGGCTAGGGCTAGGTTTGAACCTACCACCTCCAGCATATGGAGCCGGTGCCCTACTCCTTTGAGCCAGAGGCACCATCCTACTTTGTCTTTTTTCAAATCAAAGCATCAAGGCTTCTGGGATAACCGATAATCAAAAAAGAAAAAAATTATTTCAAGGATTCTCATAATCAAGAAAAAGTGTAGGAACTCCATGTTCTAACAAATAATTTTTCAGAGGAAATAATCAGACAATCCCTATATCCCATTTCTTTTCTATTCTTATAATTCATATCAGAGCTGGTGGTTATATAGTTCCTTTCCTGGAAGGAAAACCCACAATTTACCTATTTTTTATTTTAAAGTCTGATATGCTATATTATAGTTGTTATCAAGTTATTTAATATAGATTTTTCATATATTTCTAGATTTTAGCTTTTCAAAGGTTCAACTTTTTGTCTTTTATTTCTCTGGTTTTCCTCCGTACTCAATGCAAAATGTGTACAAAAGTATGTTGTTGGCTCATATGCTAACAGAGGCACTGGGAAAGCACTTAAAACCAGAACATGCTTTCATAAAAAACCTCACTTCTGTAAATTTTCCTTTTTCCCTGTGGTTGGAAGGAAAGCACGTAGCCCTAGTGTCCTAGGCAACAGACCATGCCTGCTATTTAGTGATGCTAATTAATGAATTGGACTAAGGAACCTTCTGCAATTCCCATGCCCACTAGCTTGTCCACATCAGACCTTGTGCTAGTCTGCTACTCCTGATCAATAAGCCTCGTAAATCCCATAGACTTTCACTAGGCAGGGGGACTAGACTTTCCCATGTATTGTCTTATCTAATCTTTACAACCACCTCAGGAGACAGGTATGCTTATGTGTATCATCTCCATTTTACAGACCAAAAACTTAAGTCTGAGAGGGGTCAAGTGACTTATCCAAGGCCACAAAACCAGAAAGTGGCAAAGAAGGATTAAGACACAGTTTCCCAGCACTCATTGAGGGCTCCCTCGCCAGAGCGAGCTAGACCACTTTGTCCACCCACCTGTCTGCACTGGTCAACAAGGTATAAAGGAGAATGATCCTCTGCACTCAGCAATGCATAGAATTAAGTAAACAAAATATTTAAAGCGTGATTTTCCATAAAATCCAAATATTCTTGGTTTTCCTCATCATGCAGTAACATCTATAGGTATTCAGTTAAGAATGTGTGTTACTTGCATTGTGATACTCCACTAAATGTTTAATTCTGAGCAAAATTCAAGAAAAAAAGCAACATTAAAAACTGCCATCTTAAACCTTTCAATTGAGTCTCTTCTCAATGAGAACTAGACCAAGAATAAAGCAATCCTTCACTTGTTTAAACAGTTATTTCAGAGGATGATCAAATATGCAGACTATAAGAGGCCACATTTCGACGGCCAGATTCCCTGGCTTCAGGAATCTAAAAGCATGTGAAGTCATACAAGGGAATTAGCCATGACAAATCAGTATGGTAATACATGCTATTCCTTTTCAAATCATCCACATGACTTTTGCTGTAAGGTTAACTAAGCTTTCTGTATTGTTCTCTTATTTTTTGACTAGAGAAAATGTAAAGCACTCTCTTCCTGTGTCTCACTAATTCTGTGTCTCTTTTTGCCCATGTTGTCCCCCCCATCATTATGCCACCATCTGGCTCCGCTCTCCTGCTTGATTCCTTCCAACTGACTGCTGCTTCTCCATGGAGTCCAAGCTTCCCCAGCCTCACATGAAAGGCTGAACACTGCCAGCCCATCAAAGTTTGCCTCTTTCTCTTTTCATCAAGCCTCTTCTTCACAGTGTTTATTTGTTCCTGGTTTGCACTTTTCTGCCCCAAAGTATATTGTTGTCAGTTGTCCCTGACCTTACAGATATGCCTTATACAAAGATTAAATTCAAAACAACATGATAGCTCAGAAAAACAAGGCCCCACAAATTTAAAATAACTTAAGGCTGCAAGTCCCAAAACTCCCTGGCCAGTACCAATCTATAAGAAACTAGGCTGCCCCAGCATAAGACGAGTGGCAGCATCTGTATTTACAGTTGCTCCCTGTCACTTGTGTCACTACCTGAGTTCCACCTCCCGTCAGATCAGCAGCAGCATTAGATTCTCATAGCAGCACGAACCCTACTGTAAACTGTGCACATGAGGAGTCTGGGTTGCATGTTCCTTATAAGAATCTAACGCCTGATTATCTGAAGTGGAGCTGAGACAGTGATGCTAGCACTGGGGAACAGCTGCAAATATAGATTATGGCTAGTAGAGAGGTCTGACTATGCAGAGACCACAATAAGTCAAAACAATCCGCCACCATGCCCCAGTCCATGGAAGAATCGTCTTCCATGAAACTGGTTCCTGGTGCCAAAAAGGTTGGGGACTGCTGGTCAAAAGGTTAAGGGACTGTGTCCACCTCTACCACATGATTGAATCTGTCACTTGATCTCATCTGGACTTTTAGCTGTTGCGGTTCTCTATCTGGAAAACCGTATCAGCAATACCTGGGGACCCAGACCTCTGAACCAGCCCTCTGTGTCTTAAGGGAGCCTCTGGAAGATTCTAATGCAACTAACGGCTGAGAACCTACTGAGATAGAAGTCTATACTCAGCCAAAACTGCTGGTGCTGATCCTTTCAGTTCAGGTGCAAATAGGTATGTACCTCTCTCAGTTCACTCCGTATACTCTATTAACCTTGTTCTTTTACTCATGATCATGATCATTATCAGGGAAAGCACCTGATAAGTCTGAACGTTAGAGTGCTTGCTCTCTTACATTCACCTAAACACAAAAAGATAAGCCTATGCCACCAGCAGATTCTTCTTGATGGATTGTTCTCCAATTATATTAATCTCTTAAAATTGAGGACAGCAGCCTATTAAAATTGAATACAGTGCAGATAAACACAATTTCACTCCCACTATATAGAGAGAGCTCACATTTCCCCCATACTATTAGAAGGACTCATTTCTGCTTATGCTTTGTAGCTCTGCTCCTTCCCCCTATACTGTCAGTCATGTTTCTCTCATCAATTTACTGATTTCACTCTTAAAACTGTCTTTTCCTACCAATCATTTCAGTGATAAATTACTCCCATTAACTGTGATTTGCCAAGTGGGCTTGCTATTGTCTTTTTTTTTCTTTTTTTGAGACAGAGTTCAGTGGCATCACAGCTCACAGCAAGCTCAAACTCTTAGGCTTACACACTTCTCCTGCCTCAGCCTCCCAAGTAGCTGGGACTACAGGCACCCGCCACAATGCCCAGCTATTTTTTGGTTATAGTTGTCATTGTTGTTTGGCAGGTCCAGACTGGATTCAAACCCGCCAGCTCTGGTGTATGTGGCTGGCACCCTAGCCACTGAGCTACAGGCACTGAACCAATATTGTCTTTTTTTTAATATGAAGGGAATACACATGGTTGTTACATAGATCGCTTTTATAATGTTGAATCAGGGCTATTAGTGTGCCCATCACCTCAATAGTGTAGTTTTTTTACCCCTCCCCTCTCACTTCCTCTCCACTTCTTGATTTCCAATGACTCTTATTTCTCTGTGTTCCCACATGTGCCCATCGATTATTCCCAAATTATTGGAGAGTAGATGTGGTGTTTGTTTTTGCATTGATACTTTACTTAGGATAATGGTCTCCAGTTCCATCCAAATTGCTACAAGACACATTAATTCATTTCTTCTTATAGCTAAGTAGTACTCCATGGTGTATATATACATTTTGATAATCTACTCATGAATTGATGGGCCCTTAGGTTGATTTCACATCTTTGCAATTGTGAATTGTGCTGTAATAAACATTCAAATGGGGGGTATCTTTTTAATAAAATGACCTCCTTTCCTTGGGATAGATACCCAGTAATGGGATTGCTAGGTCAAATGGTAAGTCTATATTTATGTCTTTGAGGAATCTTCATACTGTTTTCCACAGAGGTTGTACTAATTTGAAGTCTATTTAATAATAATCATTCTGACAGTGGTGAGGTGATATCTCATTATGATTTTAGTTTGTACTTCCTTGATGATGAGTGACATTGAGCCTTTTTACAACTATTTGTTGGCAATTTGTCTATATTCCTTTGAAATACTTCTGTTTATGTCTTTTGCCCACTCTTTAACGGGGTGGTTTGTTCTTTTCTTGCTGATTTATCTGAATTCTTTGTAGATTCTGAATAGCAACCCTTTATTGGATATATACTTGGTCAATATTTTCTGCCATTCTGTAGGCTATTTGCTCCATTGATTATTTCTTTTGACATGCAGAAGCTTTTTAATTTAATCAAGTCTCATACTGTCTTTTTGTATCAGCATCAGATTTACTATTACATTTTCAAATATCTAGAAAACATCTGCAGCTCACCAGGCAGTTCTAGGTTCTCATTATACCTATTAATATTTCCAAATCTCTCATTCTACCTGTCTTCTAAAGTCTAGTAGTTCCTTAACCTGCCTAAATGCTTAACATCTATACATCCAACTAGCTTTGTCACTCGTCCACCCATTATTGCAGCACATGGCCACTTTCCCTTGTCCACTGTAAAAGATACAGACACTGCCTGTTGCTGCCAACTTCATCTCCAGTCTCACTACCTCCCACAGCTCCCAGAAATAGATCAGATCACTCATGAAGTTTGAGCGTCACTTCTGACATGCTACCTTGCTGTTCACAACTGCAATGATGACTGCTCAGGTAGCTTCTTTTCTTGGTTCATTTCATACAAAACCACGTCACTAATTCCTCTCTAGACAATAAGCACCTCTTAGTTGCTCTGAAATATCTAAAATACAGTACAAACATCTCTCTGCCAAACTTTTTTTTTTGCCGGGGCTGGGTTTTAACCCACCACCTCTGGCATATGGGGCCGGCACCCTACTTCTTTGAGCCACAGGCGCCGCCCCCTTCTCTGCCAAACTTTTTTAAGTTTAAGGCATTAAACTAATCTACCCTGAATAAATATCAGTCTTTCCCAAAAACCAACTCTTCATACTACAAATTACTTATTCTCTCTATTCCGTGGATAAGTACTCCTTACAGCAATCTGTCCATATGGACATACATGTACATGCATACTCTCATAAATACAGTTATTTTGATAAAGGAGAAGCTACACACATCTTCTATCAGTTCTTAAAGTCTAAAGCCAAGGCTCTAAGAAAACATAAAGAACTAAAAAAAATTAATTTCCTTTTCTTCAAATGCTATTGGCATTTAGGTATCAAATTCCCTGCTGTTGTCTTTCCATTTGCCCCAACTACGTGTTTCAAAACAATGTATCTCCAGTTGGAATAAACAGATGACCCAAAATTATTAATATAAACATTCACAAAGCAGGTCAGAGCACATGGGCCACTCTGAAGGTTTTTGCTTTCTGTGTGGCATATATCTACAAAAGGTGTACATACTGAGCTACATCAAAATTAATGTATAAAACTCTTATTTCTTTTAAGAGGGAAAAAACACTGAAGAGAACAATGTCAACAGCAGCAGCAGCAAACCTAAACGTTTCACCTTCTATAAATTACATGGCTACCGATCAGAAAGCAAAAACCTTCAGGTGTAAATATTTCACTCAAGCCTGCCAAAGATCAGTTTGTTTTTTACTGCTCTGTGCAATCGCTGAATTAAATGACTTCACTGTAAGTGGGACTATTTTATGTAACACATTACATCATAAATTAACCCTAATGTTACAGCTACAGCTTGCACAGGCAGCGGCATTATCAGAGAATGTGGGAAGCGTGCGAAGAGGCTGAACAGTGAGGTGCAGGGGAGCCACCAGTGCTCACCAGCAGATAAACAGCACAATGAGCTGGCAGGATCACAAGCCCAGAGGCACATTCTTCCCTCGATTCTGATTTGTTATCAGAGTTTCAGTGGAAAACACACATAGGAGGACGGCAGCAAAGGAAGCAAGCAGCCACTGTGTCCAAGCGATTCCACCATCCTGAGCTTGCTTGCCCACTGAGTCACCTACCTCATAGCCTTTCTCCAGCAGGAACTCGGCCAAATACGACCCATCCTGGGAAGAGAAAAAAATTGGAAAATGTGAGTCCCATCATGACTGGTACAGAAAGATGGCCTAGACTGAGAGTGTTAAGAAAAGCATTTAAAAGGCCACATGAATTTTAATTAAGAATCATGGCAACTAAAAAAAAAAGGACACCAATAATGCCAATAAATAATAAATACCACATTTATTCCACTATACACAAAGCATTCTGACAACCATTGTATCATATGAGCTCCACCAAAGACAGAAGAAGAAACTGAAATCCGGGGAAGAAATATGGGGCAACAGAGAGAACACAAAGCTCCACAATCAGACTGCCTTGGGTTTGGGTTTTTCCACTTATCTGCTGGGCAAAAAATGCAAAATACGTGGGCAAAACAGACTGCCTTGGTGCTACAGGAACATAAAACAGAAGTCTTAGGGGGTGAGGAGGCCATAAAAAAGGAATCACTGGGGAAGGAATCTATAAGAAGGGAGCTAGAGGGGGTTGGGGAAAGAAAGGGCAAATTTGAAGAAGAGATGGTGGCATTACTAAAAAGCCTCTGTGGTGGGGTGGGGTGGGGAGACAGTGGAGAAAGAAGGTAAGTGCCTTTGGTGGATTGGCCTCTGGGCGCTACAGATGGTGAATGCTAACCCAAGGGTTTTGGAAAAGTTACTGAGGCTTAAAGGGTTTTGAGGTCAGAGATGGGTGGAATGATCAGATTTGTATTATTATCACTACATATGTGTGCACATACACATAAGAAATTTTTTAAAAGAACATAGTAATTTTCATAAAATAGTAAGTACTTCATTTGCATTAATCTTAAATTATGTAGTTAATATCCTAACATGAAGATGGCCAACCAAATACAGAGATACTCAACTGGATTTTAATAATTATTTTAAAATTTTGTGGTGAGGAATCTTTCCTTAAACTATTTCAGGGAAAGAAAGTGCGAGAGCTATCTAACGAAACTATGAAGAGGTGAAAGTTGAGTAATCTATATTCTGTGGCTATATAAACAGTCAGCAGACTCTCTCAGAAGATGAAGTGGACAGGCGTTTTGCAATCTATCAATCCTGTAATTGCTCTTCAGCTTTTAGCCCATTTTATGTCCATCTCATTTGGATGTAGAAATGGGAGGCTCCAACCATGGAAATTTGCATCCTCAAAAGTAGTTGTAGACGTTTGCGTTTTTCTTTGGTTTCTTCAGTTTGAATAAGCTCAAAATGTCACTTTGAGCATAAAAAGTTCCTACCAGAAATTCCAGAGGAAAAAAAAAAATGAAGCAAGCTTTATTATTATCTTTACTTGTCTGAAAGCTGGAACTGGAGACACCCTATGGGTCCTGGAAGTGACAGGGCTGCCAAGCGAGTGTTTACTACATTAGCGCAGAAGTCATGCATAAATTCAGGCAGAATGACACGGCGAGGCATACAAGGGACACATTCTCTGGTTTATTAAAACCTCCAGCAGATTTTCTTCTAACTTTTTGACATAAATATTATGGTTTATAGACTCATGTGAAAAAGAGAGATTGTTTGACATATTCCTTTTTACCCTAATCTTAAAATTTTCATGGTTTTTACTTATCTAATGTGCAAACTAAGTCAGATAATGAGGCTGACCGATTTGGACCAGGACAAGCCAGAGTGGTCTACATGACCACTGGCAATGTGGGAATAAGCAATAGCCCTATAAATCAATCAATGAAGAAAGAGCTTAACAGAAAAATATTTGCAATATGAATGATAATTTGACAATAGGTTTGAAAGCCCTGAGAAATATGTTTTGCTGTTGTTTTCCTGTTGTTGTTTTCAAGCAGACAACACCATACTTTGTACATTTTATAACTCTCCTGGAATAAAAAGTTAAAACGCTTTGTGTTCTACCACAGTTGTATAAAACGTTTAAAAAAAAAAAAAAAGGCGGAGGTGAACGTGCTAGAGATCCCTGGGGTGGGGAGAACTGTGATTATTTAGAAAGCTGATGTAAAACAGACCTGACCAGGACTGAACTCTGTCAATAAGGTCTTGTTCTTCTCACCCAGGCCGCTTCTCAAACTTTCCAACCGCACTGGAACATTCTGAACCAGCAGTGGCACTCGCTTCCTCCTTGCTTCCTTGCCAGGCCTCTCAAGTGATAGGGCCTGGGCTGCACAATGAGTGGGAAGTGAGCCGAGTGAGCCAGGGCTCCAGGGCTCCAGCCCAGGGGGCCCAGCTGGCCTCCCCCTCCTCCTCTTCCCAAGCCCCTGGGGGTGTCCAGGAGAGATACAGTTGTATCTGACCAGGCAGAAGTCCACCAAGCCAGCAGGATGGTTATTTCTGCATCCTCTTTAAGCACAGGGCTGATAGCCACTGTTCCAAGAACCTGAATTAACATTAAGTTTTGACATTTGACTAGTGAAACCAAGGAACAAATAAACTAAATATCCAATTTATTCACTATGAACACGATTAATCTGGCATAACTTCCTGTCTGGCTTCAATCTTCGTTACAGAAAACTTTTTAATCAGAAAGATAATGTCCCAGTGTGACCTTCTTAAATTTAATTTGACACATGGTCATTAGGAGTATCCATTTTATATTAAATGCCACATAGTTTTAAGTAATTATCATGGCCTTAACCTTTGTCAAGACACAGAAATATCTTCTAGTCTACTCTTACAAGAACTCAGTGAGGAAGGTAAGCAACCATTTGGCATCACAGGTAACTAAGACATAGGGAAGTTAGTTGACTTGCCTACGCTCACAAGAGTCATAGACACAGCCAGGACTGGCATCCAAGTCCTCCATAATTTTGAAATAGGACAAAATCACCTTTGGTCTCTACCTGGAACTGACCAAAACAAGCCAAAATGCAATAAAATAATAAAAGACCATAAAGGATTCTTTTTCAAACTAACTTGATTTAGTCATTTTCCATGACAGGGTATTTTATGGATTAAACAGTGCTTCCAGTTTTAATAAAGTGACCAAAATGCAGAAAAGTTGTGAAATTCTAGAATACTGAAAGGTGGAGAAAGGACACAGTACCTGAGATTACCCAGGTCTCAGCCTAGGGTACTTGCAACAGTGCCCATGAAGGGGTTCAGTGCTGTCTGGAGGTGAACGTGGATTGCTGGTAGTTGGATGTTGCCTTTGGGACTGAAAGGGCAGGGCCCTGCTCAGAGTCTAAAAGGGCTGGATTTCACTGTTCCCAATGCCTACCCTGCTCTTCAGAGAGGGTGGACCCTCACTTTTCATGGAGTACTCAGAAATATTCCAGACAGTCACATAAAAACTAAGAGTGATTCCAGAAATTAATAGAAGCATACATGTATTTTGACTACAGTAAGAAAACTAAAATTCCACAACTATAAAAAGCTAAACACAGAAAATTACTGGCTTCTCTCATCAGCAGACCCACACAGGCACATATAACTGTCCCAACACATACGTGCCAGGGAAGACCATCTTCCTGCAGCTGAGTGAAGCTAGTATTTCTTTTCCCTTTTCCAACATGGACGCACATATAGCCTAGGCAGGTAAATGAAAAGGGAATTTTATTATATGCATTTTAAGAAGCTGTCCCCTCAGAACTACAAGCTAAATCTACATTGCGTGTTTCTACTTAACATGCAATGGTCTTTGACCTCTTCTTTGAACAGGATAAGGTAAGTAGTATGTATATTAGGCCAAAGAAACCATGTCACTAATAAAATGAATGTCTTTGTTTAGATCATCTCAAGAACAGGAAATAGAATACCCCTTTTGCAAGAAGAAAAAGTACTCATTCACACTGCCTTTTATGCTCTTTAACTCTATGTATTTTAATTACTTTTTTTTAAAAAAGCATCTTTCCAGCTAATCACAAGTATAGTATCAAGGTAATCTGGGCCTTTAATAAGGGAAATGCAAACACCTCAATGATTAACAGAGAACAGTCTCTTGAATCAGAATGAAAATTTCCATGATTTAACCATTTTGGTGTGAAGAATCCAGAGGCAAAATACATTGAAAAAGTATTTACACTTTTACACTCATGTTTGTTCACAAATCACTGAGAAAAATCTGTCAGACTCACAGAATTCAAAAGACCATGGGGATTAATTAATCCAACTCTCTCATTTTATAGATCAGGAAATTGAGATTCAAAACAAGTAAATGTTTAGTGTACAGTCACACGGTTAGGAAGTAACAGAACCTGCACCAAAAAATAAAAATGAAAACCAGGTCTCCGAACTCCAAATCTCAGAATTTTTAATATAAAATACTGAGCAAACACCTAAAATGAGGAGACTAAAGACTATAGTTAAGAACCAAATAAAACACACTAATCCATTACCAAAGTGAAGAACAAGAACAGCACCAATAATTAGCAACAGAACAATAATTAACTGATGGGTAGAGAGGAAATGAGGACACTGTCAATATTTAAAACATATAAATAACTCCTGTCTCCTATAGTCTTTAAAATTTTAAAGTATTTCCCTGCAAAAGCTGCTATCACCAAACAACTGACTCTCACTTTCTTAGATTTACCTCCTGGTAGAGAGGAACACAGCAGTCCAGAAATGTGATCAACAACCTGTGAAAATAAAGAATTGATTGTGCCCAGCAGCTAAGATGCTAAGATAATCTTTACCTAACCGCCCCTTCCTTCTTTTCGAGGATAAGAGCCACGATGCAGGTGCTCAGAGGCTGCACATACACTTCACACACATTAAGAACCAAGAAGGGTTTTGCCACAGACACAATACCTTCCAGGAAAGAGGGATGAGTGTGAGGCTAATCCTTTATAAAGAAGCCAGATACTTTCAATCATCCAATGTATGGGTACACCACAACACAGAATTCTTCCCCAAAATGTACTCAGTTACAGAAGGTTACAATATTAAGTTTGATGTCCACAGTCAGTTTAAAAAGAAAAACGATTTTCACTTTCACATTTTAAAGAATATCAAAAGAGGAAGAAATGATCTAAAAGATTAATTTTAAAAGGTCCTTTTCTTACTTTGATAGGTTAAAAAAATTAACTTTTTCA